CAATTTGCGGAAGAGCTCTCCCGACAGAGGCCGATGAGCACCCGAAGATTTACCGGATGAAGCTCTGGGCCACGAACGAGGTTCGTGCCAAGTCCAAGTTCTGGTCAGTAACTGAGTTTATCTTCCTTCTCTCGATTTTAGGTTTGTTTTCCACAGTTTGCCTTTTTCTGATGTTTTCCGATGTTTATCTGGATTCAGGTACTTCTTGAGGAAGCTGAAGAAGGTTAAGAAGAGCAATGGACAGATCCTCGCCATCAACGAGGTACATGATTTTCCACATTTTCCCTTTGGTTCTGCTATGCATATTTAAAATGGTTGTAGGATCTGAAGTCATTTTTTTGTTTCTGGAGTTATTGAGCAAATAGAATTTCGTTTCGTTGTCCTGAAAAATTCTATGGTTCTTGTCACTTGTTGTCTGGACTCTGGACATCGTTATAGCTTTAGTGGTGTTGTGCTGAGAGTTGAACATTCTTTGACCTCCATTGATGTCGATGATGAAGATTGCCTGTGAATCAATGATCTAATTGCTTATAGCTGTGCTGTTCCAGGGCATTGTCTTTTTATTGTCTACCTTTTAATCTTGATGTCATCTTTCAAGTCTGATTTTCCTTTATTGCATAAAAAATGGTTTTTTGTGGTACTGTTTCTGTTTCTCTAGCTGGATATAGTTTTGTTCTGTCTTAATCTCTCCTTTCACGTATTCTTGCTGGAAGTAAATATTTTTCCATTGTCCTAGGTTCTTTTGGTTCTTGCAAACTAATGTTCTGCAACTATACTTGATTCTTGAATTGACTGCTCAGAGCTCATCGTTTGTCTTGGAGGTTCTTTACTCAATGTCCTGATTGCTCTAAGCCTGATATATGTTCACTCTGAACCACTTGGACAGATCTTTGAGAAGAACCCGACAAAGATAAAGAACTACGGGATCTGGCTGAGGTACCAGAGCCGAACGGGTTACCACAACATGTACAAGGAGTACCGTGACATCACTCTGAACGGTGCTGTGGAACAGATGTACACCGAGATGGCATCCCGACACCGAGTGAGGTTCCCGTGCATCCAAATCATCAAGACAGCGACCGTCCCAGCCAAGCTGTGCAAGAGAGAGAGCACCAAGCAGTTCCACAACAGCAAGATCAAGTTCCCCTTGGTGTTCAGGAAGGTCAGACCCCCTACCAGGAAGCTCAAAACAACATACAAGGCTTCCAAGCCCAACCTGTTCATGTAAAAGTCCTGATACAAGCAGGTAACAGCCAAATATCCAGATGAATGAAAATTCATGGTTTTGGTAGAATTATTATGAAGTATGCCAGCTGTTTTGTTTTTGGGATTATGTTATTTATTTTTATGGATCTTGTTAGTGTTCAGAAGAGTTTGAACTCAGTTTTGTTTTTGTTGGACTTCGCAGTTCATGTTTCCTCTTTGCATAAGAAACCAATTCTCCCATTCTGTTAACTTTGTCATTGTCCAATTGAGGCCATTGGAGGATTACATTCCCCATGGTTTTATAATCAATCTTTGTACGCCCTTGACATTTGGCCATCCGTCCATATGATGATAGTGATGATATATATATACACATATATATATAAACTAATTGAATAGGTAGATGTATTTCATTAACAAAAGCTAGCTAATCATATGTAGTAACAAGATCTAAAAGTGGAAGAAATGTACAGATTAAATGTATTGTACGTTAGGATTGATTAAAATCCCATAATCCAATCTTAAACTAAAATTAAGTTGGTTCAGACTGCTAATTGGGAAGCTTAGTATTTTTGAAATGGTCAAATAAAAAGTTCAGATACAATATCTTGACAGCCAATCAATATTTGACACGTGGAGTCGGTTCTATAAACATCGATAAGGGTATTTTTGTAAAACAGTACAGGCTGAAATGAAAATATCTCCTTATAGAGAAACAAAAGATTCTCCGCTTGCTTCATATCCCTTCCTCGGCTCACTCTCGAGTCTCGTAGTTGCAATCTCTCTTCAATGGCGTCACACGATCACCATGACCATGATCATCATCACCACCATGATCACACCCACGAGTAATGCTACTCCACCTGAAAGCCTTCATCTTTCTATGATTTTTCCATTTTCTCTGCTTCTGATGATTGTAAACCCAGGAAATCGGACGGCAAAGGTGCGACGTCGTGGGTGGGTCCCGACGGAAGAGTGTACCATAGCCACGATGGACTCGCACCGCATTCGCATGAGCCCATCTACTCTCCGGGCTACTTTAGCCGCCGAGCTCCGCCGCTTCACAACCGTGATTTCTCCGAGAGAGCTTTCACCGTCGGAATCGGTGGACCTGTTGGGACTGGGTATGCATCCGTTTCTCTTTTGCCCTAAAGTTAATGTTTGGGATTTGATGTTTTAGAATTTGGGCATCGATCAAAACGAGTGCTTGAATTTCAATTTGGTTTATGCTTTCGGAACTTGGGTTTTGTAATATCGATGTTCAAATTTGTTGACCTGAGGATTGTTTTCATCGATTATTTTAGCTGAAACTGAGATTGGATTTTGTTTTGTTTGAACAGGAAAACAGCTTTGATGCTCGCTCTCTGTAGACTCCTGAGGGATAAATATAGTCTTGCTGCTGTGAGTATAATATACCTGTGATGAAAATTTCCACAGATTCAGAAGATTGCTTTCTATCAAAGTGCTGGTTATGTAACGGTGTAGGTGACGAATGATATATTCACGAAAGAGGATGGAGAGTTCCTGGTGAAGAACGGGGCTCTTCCCGAGGAAAGGATTAGGGCTGTCGAAACTGGTGGATGCCCACACGCCGCCATTCGCGAAGATATCAGTATCAATCTGGGTCCTCTCGAGGAGCTTTCTAACTTGTTCAAGACAGATTTACTTCTTTGTGAATCTGGCGGAGGTAAAGATCAACACTTTATTTGGGCGGATCTCTGATTCTTGGAAGATCCGAAAATAGTGTTATTGGGCACTGGTTGTGCTGTCTGAAAGATGATTACATCTTCATCATCATCATCCGAGGTTATATTGTAGAGACGTGCCTTCTGGGTTCTGAATGTGGGCTACAAACAGAGTTTAGTTTCTCTTTCTCATGGAGGTTCTGATAAGATTGACCAGCAGGGTTAGGATTTTCCTGCAGATAACTTAGCTGCCAACTTCAGTAGGGAGCTGGCTGACTATATCATCTATATTATTGATGTGTCGGGCGGTGACAAAATCCCGAGAAAAGGCGGTCCAGGCATCACTCAAGCTGATCTTTTGGTGCTCAATCTTCATATTGCAACCTGTCCAGAGTACTTGTTTCTTTTTTCCTTTTTTTTTAATCAAGTTTCATAATCTATGTGAATTCCAACTGCAGGTGATAAACAAGACAGATCTTGCACCAGCTGTTGGTGCCGACTTATCTGTCATGGAACGTGATGCCCTCCGCATGCGAGATGGAGGTCCTTTTGTCTTTGCTCAGGTCCGTTCTCTTCAGAATCCGGTCTAAGTTTCGGTCTAAGTTTCATCTCTTGACAACAAAATTCATCACCAGGAAAGAAATCTTACCCCATGCTTGTGAAGAATTTAGAAACAAAGGAATCATCTTTTCGGATTTCTATTTGTGGCAGGTGAAGCACGGGATCGGAGTGGAGCAGATTGGAAACCACGTCTTGCAGGCTTGGGAAGAAGCAACGGGGAACAAACGCCATTGATGAACCAGCAACCGAATAAAAGAAAGATCTGGCATGGTGGTGCTGTTTCACCTAGGAAATCTATGATAAATCCGAGTACTTACTGGACTAGCTTCTGTAGAAAACTTTGGCCCATGGTTCATGGATCTGTGTTTCACTGAGGAAATAACAAAGTCTTTGAACTTCTCATACATTGTTTTGAACTTGAATGCTCCCTGCACACACACTCAAAAAATCCTTCAAAGTTCTCAACTTTAATAAAGTTTAACACTGATGTAGATGAATTGGAAGACATCAGATATGAAAGATACATAACCATAAAAATCATTTAAAAAAAATTCAAGTTCTTCATAAACATTAATTGAAATATACAGTAAAACTTCACCACATACATATCATCGTCTGCTCATGAAATTCCCGACCCCGAGCTTATGTGCTTCAGCTTTGAGTGACTTGAGGTATTGAACAGCTTCGTCGAGGATACAAGCAGTATTCATCTGTTCTCCTCCGGGAACTATTCTTCTCAGAACCTTCATTATCTTCTTCATCTTCATTCTCTTTTTTTGGCCATTGTTACAGCGGTAGCTGGAGCTTGAAGTTTCTGGAGAGAGATTCCAATTACGAGCTGTGCTGACTTCTTCCGCTTCTTCTTCATTATCGTCTTCTTCTTCTTCATCAAAGCTCAGTAAGGCATCAATCTCATCCGAATCCTCTTTCATAGAAGAGGATGCTTCTTCTTGGTCAGAGTTACTAAAACATTCCCCGGCATGCTTATTTTGAAACGAACTTGCAAAAGCATTCAAGGCTGGGGAATTGAGCTTCCGGGTCATCTCGGGATGGTACATCACTTGGCTCCTGTCACATGTTTGATCAAATATGATGAAGTTCTTCGAACATGCCATGGAAGGCTGAAGCTCAACATCATGGAACGGCCTAAGCTTTGCACATGGAGGAAGCACATAATCAAAGGCTGATGAAGAAGCATATGGAACTTGCATATTACTGTCACCCACTTCATCCGAGAAGTGAGTTGCTATAGCCTTTTGCCGAAAACGCAGATCTTTCTGCATCAGAAAAGTGTACAAAACAGAAAAAGGAAAACACCAGAAAAAGAAGCCGTTCACCTCAGACTCCGGGCTGCTCGACCTTTCAAGCTGCCAGCTGTTCAGTTCATACTGAAGGTACCGCGAATTTCCCACCAGAGAGAATGTCTTTCTATCCCAAACCAGAAACTTTCAACAGAATTTCAAATATCGACCCGACTTTTCAGACTACAGGATTTTCCATATCTGGCGATAATTCTTACGAAATCAAATTTGATAGCTTTCCAAAACCCAAATTCGTGGATATCCCCAACACCTGACTACGTAACGGGCTTAAGCAACTGTCGGAAATACTCAGCCTGCAAAGAGAGAAAAGGAAGATGAATGAGAGAGTTAAGGATAGCAGGCCATATAATTTACTACTGTAACAGACTGAAGATCATTAACCAACATATGTCATATGTTCAACAGATTGCTACTTGGTAACTAGATCCAAAATCTGTTATGTGTTGTGAAAAAGGAAACTCAGAACTGCTATCAGGTGTAAGGAGAGGTAATATTACCTGACAAACTTCCAGCAATTGGTAATTAGCAACGAAACATTTAGTCATCAGAACTCTTCCTACTTCCTTTACAGCTCGCTGTTCCTTTCTGTTTCTGACAATGCACATTCTCACTCCAAGAACCAGGGGCGCCAATAGAGAACTTCTACTCTAGATCCTATGAACAACAAATGCAAAACAAGAGGGAAAGATTCATTGACATGGATAAGCTGACATGAAACGTGTAAGGAAGGAACACACATAACAAGTTTTATCCGTGTCGTCAGATTCTGGAATATGAAGGATTAAAACGGGTTTCAAGATCAAAGCACAAGCTCCTCACCAGAAAGTATCAAATTTACAGAATCACAAGGAAGAAGACGACCAAACGAGTGCAAGTCCTGTTGAAAAACATGAAGAAGGGCGTCCAGGGCATCTTGATTCTCACTCTACAATTGCAGCTTTATATATTCAATGGCCTTCACCTTCTAACAAACTGCAAAGAAGGGGAAAAAAACAGATGGCTATGAAAAAGATCAAATACGCATCATTCTCCGTTAAGGAAAACCAAAACAGAACATCAAAGACCACAAGGAGACATTTGCTGTTTCCAACCATTACCAGCCTTTGTCTGCATAAGCTACATTACTAAAGAAAAACTCAAACCATAAACATAAAGCCCAAAGGGAGCAACAAACAGATAATTCAGCTTCACTCAGATGTCACAATAATCTCACGCGGAATCAAAGAACAAAAGGAAAAAGGTCCTAACACTTAACGAGAACCAGATATCGAAATTACGGTAAGACATTGGATTTTCCTGGAAAAAAGACGGAACTTTCACGCAAGCATACACTTTTTCAAAGCAGGAAACTGGACAACACCATCAAATTCGGATCATAACACAATTCTTGGGGATTGCCCAGCAACGAAAAGAACAGAAAGGGAACCTGATATGTCAAATTTCGCCAGGGGAAGAAAACTACAAGCGATTAACAAAGCAACCATGTCAGAAACGGACCATCGCAAAGCTGATCAATGGATCAAAGAACAAAATAACATCGCAAGCGTAATATGAAACCGAAACGAGAACATCGCACGGGAAAAAAAACCCAGATTCAAAAAGGTTAGCGCATTGAAACGACATGATGTTGTCAACATCACCATGAATCCGATACCTTTGGGGCCAAGAACAAAATCGATTCTCCCCCGGAAACAATGGGATTGAAGTAACGGACCAAAACTCAGGACTCTGCAGCCGAAGATCTAGAGAGGGAGAGAAAAATCTGCACGAGAAGAAGGAGAAGAAGTGACTGAGTGCTGGATTTTTTTTCCCCTGGTGCGTTTCGTTTGTTTTTGAATGTTTGTCCATTTTCAAGTTTATGACGAAGTTTCAGAAAAAACACAATTTGTGTTATTTTACTTTTCTTTTTCGACAAAATAAAAATTACCATTTAATTTTAAGCAAAAACAAATCTGGAAATATTAATATTTCTTTTACATTTAAAACTATCATATGTATAAGCAAATTTTGAAATACATAACCGTGACAGTCTCAATTGTACATTCATTTTCAAAATTTTGAATTTTTTTTTGGGTTTTTAATATTATGGTTTTAGATCCAAAATTATATTAAATAGATCAGTATAAACATTTAAAAGGTCAGCAGCTCAAACTCAAAAGGGAAAAAATTAAGAAAATAAATAAATAATGGGTGGTAGCGAAAAAAGCAATAAATAAATAAATAAATAAAGCACGCGTGACGGGAACGACAGTGGAGAGTCAAACACGGGCAACGTGGGCCGTTGGATCGAAGCAATCTTGGAATGGTTTCCGTTTAATGCGGAAGTGGTAATGACCGTTGGATTAATAAAGCACGCGTGAAAGGTTATATTTTTTTAAAAAAATTTAAAATTTTTATCTGTTAACTAAATACCCATGGTAAAATTGATTAGATAACCATTTCTTTATTTTGTAAGATTCTATTATTTGTAATCAAGTTTTCAATTAAATTAAATTCACAGTCAACTAATTCAATTTAAAAAGTATACATTAGATTAAATCTAAACTAATTATTATTGTTCATTGTATTGTATTCAATTTTATATTCAACGTCAAAAGTTCGTTGCTCGTTTGATTCCTTGATCCATGTCTCACTCAACATATTTCTATACTCTTTGTTTTTTTCGATTTTTTTATAAAAATTTATAGGAAGAGTCGTAATAATAGTGAATGTGACTAAAATGATGATGACGATAGGCGTACGAATGATTTTTTTTTTTTTTACAAATTTGTGATTGATGTTTGTACGTAAAAGCTGTAAAAAAAACATATTAAATAATACGATAAGTTATAATGATGTTTCCATTTTTCGTTTTTGTATGTGTAAAATATACACAATGTATTTTTTTTTACAATATCCACTAAACATTTACTGTACATTTTTTACAAATTTTGCAACAAAGTATTATTATACATTTTGTTTACAGAAAATTCAAATTTTGTTTGATTAGTTTTCGAGAAATGGAATCGAAATATTACATTCCTCCAATTTTTACGGCCATGGTCCCTCTTTTAATCCAAGATGTTGTACTTCTTAATAACTAATTATTATTGCGTGTATTCTAAAAAAAAAGAAAGAAATGTGGTCGGGAGGCTACAAATTCCAAGGAGGATGTAATTGGAACTTGGCTCATCATCAACAACGATAATAACAATATTAAAAAAAAACGTAATGTGAGTCATTATAATAAGGAATATATAAAAATATCATATGATACATCAATAATCTAATCGTAATTATAGATCCACCATTATTCATGGCATGTAAAGAAAAAGACCCAAGAGGAGAAGGGAAAGAATCTGAATCGAGTGGAGGGTTTGAAGAATGCTGGGCAAACAAGTGGGCTTGCTTGCTTGTTCTTGTTGGGCTTTAGTGGGCTTTTTTTTTAAAAATATTTATAATACGATATTGTGAGTGAGTTCATGAAAAGAAAAGAAATCCGCATTTTTTCAATTGTTTTTTAGAAAATAATTTGTGCATTTGCAGATAAAAAAAAAAAAGGATGATTTTCGGGAGGTGAATTGGTGTATTATCGATATTTTATAAACATTAGATAAATAATAAAGAGGAAATGATGTCTTTATATTGGAAAATGATCAATGTCTCGATTTCTATTGGTTGGTGACATTTTCTTTGGGCTTAGATTTTTGGCTGAGATATGATATCTAGTGGCCGATTATATTATCCATTAACAGGGCGACACGTGGCACTCCGGATAAAAATCATTAAGCGTATCTATCTATCCCTTGGGGTTCAAAGGGTATTTTCTCCCGTTAGATTTTCTCAATCGAATATATATATTAGACTAACAAATCTTTTATATATATATATATATATGTGTGTGTGTGTGTATATATAGCTTTTGCTTTGCATTTCCTCTGTCCAAAAGTTTTACGTATTTATTAGATGAACAAAAAAGATGTGGACATGATTTTGTTATTTGGGCATTTTACTTTGAATTCACCCTAATGAACTCTAAACATATGCGTTTCTTTGATCTTTTCTCTTATTATATATTCAATTTTCACCATCTTTCTTCAAGTAGAACATGGAAAATGAATTTGTAGTTAATTTCAACATTATTAACCTTCACTATATTTCAATTTCTAAAATAATATTTAGTGGCGGATACGAAATACCATATATAAAGAAAATGAGAATGAATAGGAAAACATTTGCTAATTTTTTCAAACTACATTTTAATCATTTATACCGTAAAAACATTATGTGTTTTTAGTTTATAGGGGTATTTGGAATTACTACAACAACGTTAAGGTGGTTTTTTTTGTTTGTTTGTGGGAAACTAAAGCACCCTTCAACGGATTTCATGTGAGTTAATTAATGGTTATTGTTACGGATGTAAACTAAAATGCAATTTAAATTTCATTGACAAAATTTAGTTTTCTTTTACATTTTGTATCATGACTGGTTAAAGAATCTAGAGAAAGCTGGTGGAGGAGACACTGCCACTTCGGACAGCAAAACGACAAAACCAAAATCTCAGAATCCAATCAGCAAACAGAGATAGATACTTCACAGATAACAAACCTTACTCCCAAACCCACTATATAACACCCAAGCATCCGCCAATCTAATTCCAACCACTCTCACAAATCACAAAAAAAAAAAAAAAAGGAAAAACAATTCCAATGGCTGCCTCGACCATGGCTCTCTCTTCTCCATCCTTCGCCGGAAAGGCAGTCAAGCTCTCTCCGACAGCTTCCGAAATCCTCGGAACTGCCCGCGTCACAATGCGCAAGTCCACCGCCAAGCCCACCGGTCCATCGGGAAGCCCATGGTACGGACCCGACAGAGTCAAGTACCTGGGCCCATTCTCTGGTGAGCCACCGAGCTACCTCACCGGAGAATTCCCCGGAGACTACGGTTGGGACACCGCCGGTCTATCCGCCGATCCCGAGACGTTCGCAAGGAACCGTGAGCTAGAGGTGATCCACTGCAGATGGGCAATGTTGGGTGCGCTCGGATGCGTTTTCCCCGAGCTCTTGGCTCGTAACGGCGTGAAATTCGGAGAAGCCGTCTGGTTCAAGGCCGGTTCGCAGATTTTCAGCGAAGGAGGGCTTGATTACTTGGGAAACCCTAGCTTGATCCATGCTCAGAGCATCTTGGCCATATGGGCCACTCAGGTTATCCTCATGGGTGCAGTGGAAGGTTACAGGGTGGCCGGGAATGGACCACTGGGCGAGGCGGATGACCTTCTCTACCCCGGTGGAAGCTTCGACCCGTTGGGACTAGCGAGTGACCCGGACGCGTTTGCCGAGTTGAAGGTGAAGGAGATCAAGAACGGCAGGTTGGCCATGTTCTCAATGTTCGGGTTCTTCGTTCAGGCCATCGTAACCGGGAAGGGACCGTTGGAGAACCTGGCCGACCACTTGGCGGATCCGGTCAGCAACAATGCCTGGGCTTACGCCACCAACTTTGTTCCCGGCAAGTGAGCGAGCTAAAGGTGTTTGTGTCGTGTCTTTGTAAGAGTGTGCATCGTGTTTGTGATGGTGATGTAAATTTACTGAGAATCTAATGGAATTTATTATTTCAGAAGCCAAAGCTCATTCTTCATTGTCTCTAATCGTCTGCAAGATTATCAACATTCACAATAAAAAGATTGTAGCAGACTCACCAACTCGAACACGATTTCATAGATATACACACGAGCAGAGCATACACCATCGGTGCCTTTGATCTAATCGTCATCTACCCCTCGACGTCTCTGAATCTGTAAACAGATCATACAGAATCACAGGCGAAGATATTTGATCATTTCGGGTAGTGTGAGTTTCTGAGGATTGCATATGGCTTACAGTGACTTTAGTCCGTTTAGTGGTTTGGCTGTTTATCTGTTCCAGCAGCGATATAAGCCGCTCCTCGGAGACCTGGAGAACGAGAACGTTTGATAGGTAAAAGTAAAACTCCGAATAACGACATTGAAAAGTCTCTTATTATACCTTTTCGACTATCTGTCCCGTTTGAGCAGCCCTGAGAAGAACGTCCTCAACGCCTCTGGCCTTGTCAGGTTTCACCAGAGCAATTCGAGCAACTATATAAAAAAAAATAATCAAAGGCATAAAACCCAATAGAAGAACCATAACGGGCATGGTAAAAACACGGTCACTTTAAACACGGAGGATGTAACTTGACAGTTAAGATCTGGTGACAATCACTACGGATTTACTAGGAACTAGTGCGGGGAAATGTACATGCTTCACCGCTAATCCAAAGAATATTCGATGATGAAAAAGTAGGCATTCGCCATCATCCATACTAGCAATGTGAGGAACCGCGAAACGATGCGAAGACGTGAGTAATTGTAACAGGAAAAACGGCTTTTACAGAACCTTAAACTCCAGTCTAATGAGCCAGTTTCTGGTCATTTGACATAAAAAAGGAACCAGACACAGCACATACCATGAAAAAGAAAGTGGATTAAACTGAAAGAATTTAAAAGTATACTACGAGGGAGAAATCACATCTCAAAGCTCAACACTTAGGATAAAGAGAAACAAAGCAGATTACTGCTGACCCTAACGTCATAATGCAAAAACAGGAAGAAAACCTAAAAATGGAACACCAAACCAGTTTAGACGAATTTACGTCTCTCTCGAGCTTCAGAGGACAAAATCTGAGTAAGCATCATTTGCCTACGTTCCTCTGCCTCCCTA